GCAGCCCCCGCCCCAGTCTTCCCTCTGTACGAAGCCATGTTTATTCACTTCTCATTTTCCACCTTCATTTCTTTTTCTTTCTCTTTTCTCTGTCCTTCATGATGGTCTGAGAACAAAGGCTGAGGCCACCAACCACCATTCCGTCTCCATGTAGTCCTCCACCACCCCAAGCCTCTGTACCTTCACAAGCCTCCCCGTGGCTGATGATGATCTTCCCAGATGAAGATCTGAATCCCCGATCACAGCGACAGGTATTGCCATTGAAACATATGGAGTTTGCAGGGCACGGCCGGCGACAGGCAGAGGCTGTGGGGCGGAGACTACGGTCAGAAGATGAGGGCTGAGCCAGAGGCCGGGGAGGGGTGTTGGGAGGGGCAACCCTGACCTTCCTCCTGCAACAGGCCTTTCTCTGCCTGGGCTGAGAGGTGCATATGGGGGTTGGGACTCTGGCTGGGGACTGAGTTACTCCTAGCAGACTCACCCCTGGTGTTCTGGGGTCCATCCTCCAACAGAATCAGCCAGACACACAGCGCTGGAAGAGAGAGATGGAGGGTCATTAGGACACAGAACAGGGAAGGGCGGCCTGAGGGTGACACATCTGAGGGAAGGGGCAGCTCACCCCTCCCAGGCTCGGGCTCTGTCCATGACTCAAGGAGAGAGTGGGCAGGTGGCACCTCCTTGTCCTCCAATGCCCATGGCTAGAGGGCCTGCACCCATCGCCTGAAGGTGGCTTTCAGGAACTGAAGGATAGGGAGGGGCCCGAGCCTAGTAGGGGTCTTGGCTTCTGCTGATCTGTGGGCAGCAGTTCAGCAAACATACTGGAGTCAATTGGCCTTGGTTCTACTCCCAGACCTTGGTCAGGTGCCTCAATTCCTCAGTTTCCCCTTCTGTAGAATGGGGACAAAGAGGAGATCCATTTCCTAGAGTGTGAGATTTAAGCTGACAAGTACTGCCTGGTGTGTCAGAGTGCTTACTGCCATCATTTCTTTATGTAAAAATGAAGGGGTTGGGCCAGGTGTCCTCTCAGATCTCCCAAATCTAAGGTGCTCCGGCCCCACACCCTTCCTCAGGGACACAGGTGCAAGCACACTGCACCCACATCTGTCCACCACAACGACCAGCTTGGGACCCGGTGGTGACATTTCACATCCTGGCTCCCTGCACACAGGAAGATGCTGGGGGCTCATGTTAGGGGTGGAGCTACACAGGCTCCCCAATCCTGCTCTTCCTGCTGCTCAGGGCACCCCATCCCAGGGCATGTCGTGGGGGTTCTCCTTAAGTCAGCAGAAGGTCTACAGATGAGGACTTCCTTGCCCGTTCACCAGAGGGACAGACAAGGACACAGAGATGGAGAGAAAATAATGTGATGATGAGGAGGAGGAAGAGGAGGAAGAGGAGACGGAGACATGAGAAGCTGGGCTGGTTACTTGAACTGAGGATAAGTATACTCAGGAGCAAGGGGACGGCTGTGTTTGGCCTTTTGCACAGCAAAGCAACAAAGTCGAGAGAGAGAGAGAGAGAGAGAGAGAGAGAGAGAGAACTAGACACTTAGAGGAGAAAGAGGGAGAAAGAGATGCAAGCAAAATAAAGAGATGAGAGGGAGAAGGAGAGAGAGAGACAAAAGACAGAGAAATGGAGAGAGAAAGAGAAAGGCTGAGTTAAGAAGACAGTTATCTAGAGAGATGGACAGAGAAATAAGGGACTGTTAGAAAGGGAGAGACAGGTGCCAGAGATTAGATAGAAAGCCATGGAGAGATAGAGAGATTGAGAGCCAGATAGAGAAACAGAAGTAAAGGTTGGCGGGAGTGAGTGCGGGCACTTGGGCAGCATGTGGGTGTGGGGAGGGCTAGAGGTATCCATCCAGTCCCTGCAGATCTAGAGATGCTGGGGAGGCAGTCCAGACCCAGATAATCCAGGGAGACCAGATGGGGACAGCGGGTGGAGGGATGGGGGCCAGGGAGGCAGAGCAGGAGTGAGTCACTTCCTGGGCCAAATGAAGGGATAACTCATGGCTCCCAGTTCCCCATGGAAGGGCTCATAGGGGAATTTTGGAGTTGATCATTGTGAGCACAACTTGAGGAGATGTGGAGGGTGCAGACTGGAGGGCCCCCTGAGCACTCAGTTCCAATGTCCAAACTTGATACCCTCAGGCCAGCAGAGGGCAAAGACACCCCCCCCCCCCGCGGCCC